CATGTGTGAGGAAGATGAGGGTCTATGGGATCATAATCCTAAAATTACAAAGAATATGCCAATTAGGATTCTGTTGGAAATGATCAGCTCTAATACAGGGAATAAGAATTTACTTGAAGGGCCTTGGAAATTCATGAGATCAAAGGGAAGCTAAAGAAAGTGACTTAGGATACAAAATCAAAAAACTCCAGAAGTAGTTTTTTTTTTTTTTAAGCAGAAATTGCTATTCAATAGGCTTGCATTTATTTCTTCATTGGATTACATTAACTCTTTAAATTCGCGATTCAAGAGAATGAAACCTCCAGGACTCATCCATGGATAAGTTTGTAATGGGTCCATATCATGCTTTGAGTATGAACCTTGCTGTTTGATTGATCACACATGGCTTAATCTTAAACTGACATGTATTTCTTCCTCCTCTCCCAACAGTGGGATTGAGGAAATATTAATGTTCTTCCCATCCTAGGCCAGCAAGTAAAATACAGGCTGGGAACTGGTGCCAGCAAGTGAACAACAGCTCTCTCAAGGTCACTAGATGGACAGTAATTATATCTACTGATAATTATACCCAGAGCCTAGTCCTTGAATTTCCCTTTAAAGGTCCTTTGTTTTTCCTTGTGAGGAGAGATGGCAGTCTTTGGACCTTAGTCCACTGCCTTCTTTCTTTGCTAGAAGTTTTAATAAAATTTATTTTTTCTCAAAAACCTTTTCCTCATTATTTGAATTGGCACCAGGCACAAAAACCAAGCCTTCTGTATCAAAATGGTTTGAGAGCAATTATCTTGGTTTCCCTATTGACTCTTTAAGACAAAATGTAACAGGAAAGATATAAAGTATTCAAAGGAAATTATATGTTAGGGCAAAGGGAGCTAGATAAACAAAAAATGGCAAATGGCGAGGTGATGAAGCCACTGGTATTTGCTAAATAAAGGCAATGTTTGAACAAGTAAGCATGCTAGAAGTGTGAACAACATGTATATGGTTTGTGTGGACAGGCTTGTAGGGACTGCTCCATTGGATTCCTTCAGTTTGCTTTTACTTGGTAATAGAGAGCTGCTTAACTCACCCAATTCTCCCTAGGTGGATAACGTTTTTAAAACTTATTTTCATATGGGGGATTGAACCCAAGGGTGCTTGACCACTGAGCCACATCCCCAGCCGTTTTTATTATTTTGAGACAAGGTCTCGCTGAGTTTCGTATGGCCTCACTAAATTTCCCAAGCTGCCCAAGTGCTGGAATTACGGGTATGTGCCACCACACCCACCTAGTGGGTAACTTTTTAATTTGTAATTAAAAATTTTTGTTCCGGATGGTGGACACAAAAGAACAATGGGAACTGAAGTATAACATTGTTTGTTTGTTTGTTTTTGACATAATGTCTTTGTTTTATTTATTTATTTTCATGTGGTAGGCAAGCACTCTTCCACCAAGCTACAACCCCAGCCTTAACATTGTGATTTTTCTTACCTAGACATAGTTATGTTGGGTCTGGGATTGTAGGGCTAGTTTGTTTGCATTACCCGCCCCTCTGGCTTTTTACCACTCAACTACATCCCCGACCCTTTTTATTTTGATATAGAGTCTCACTAAGTTGCTCTGGCTGGCCTTGAACTTGCAGTACTCCTGCCTACGCCGCCTAAATAGTTGGTATTATATGCATGTGTCAGAGTACCAAGCAGGATTGGATTGAGTCAACTGATTTTAGCCAAACCCCTACCCACCCCTCCAGCAGTCTTTTGATCTTGTTGGCATTTGAGCTGGGAGGGATTTGAATTGCAACTTGAGATGTTTAGGGTTCTTAGGGTTCTAGAATCCACTTGCCTTGAGAATGTGCAAGACATCCAGTCCCTCTCCTGCTATGATTTTGGCAAAATTCAGGAGAGGGAATTTCCTAGCCAGTTTGTTTTTACAGGGGGTGTGGTTCCAGATTTCAGTCTGTCCCAACAGTACACTGTTGTCTGGTCCTGACTTAATTCCCATCTCTCTGCAAAATATCCTCCATCTAGGGCAGGCCCACATTTCCATACATTGTAACCATACCCCAGAGTCCACCCCAGAATTAAAAACTGCCAAGACAAAGCTCTCAACTTACTTTCAAAGGGCTTCTCTTTGGGGGATAGTTCATGAAGAATTTCTTGCATCCACTTGTTCTTTTGCTAAGTCTCATAGAAAGGTATTATTTTTACCTTTTCTAGAATGAGACTAAAGTGTCCAAACTCTGGTAGTAATTTATTTGCAGTAATTCAGTAAAATTACAACATAAGCAAAAAACAAACATAAAAAACCCAGTCTTTGAAGTACATATTGTGAGTTGCTTGAATGCCATTTTCAGCATTTAATGAATGTGTACCATGAGTGGCCCAATAATAGCATTTACCAAAGAACTAATTGCATGCTGAGGCAAGAATGGTACCTGTTAATGGGTAATGAAAACCTGAATCATTAAAACATCTCAGGCAAAAGCTGCACCATTTTTCTATCAAACCTTTAGACAGAAGAATAGTTGAGTCAACTGATTTTAGCGTGTGCCATCACAACCAACTAGTGGGTGCCCCTTTCTAATATCTGGTGCCCCTTTCTAATATCCTCATTTCTTGCCTGTGAGGAAAATTATGTTGACGATCAGAGCTAGAACTAAGGGGAAATAATAGAGAAAAGTGAGAAGAAAACAAACTTGCTCTTCCTGAGTAACCAAGATTCTTGCAAAGGAGTTGGAAATTTAAAGGCCTGGTAGAATCATTGATACAAGTGGATGCAGTGGCACATGCCTATAATCCCAGCCACTCAGGAAACTGAGGCAGGTGGATTGGATCACAAGTTTGAGGTTAGCCTCAACAACTTAGATCCTGTCTTAAAATAACAAAGGGCCGAAGATGTATCTCAGTGGTAAGTCACCCCTGGGTACTGAGGAGGAAAAAAAGTTGATATATTTGACCAAATGATCATTGTATGCATTTCCAGGATCTTTTCACAGTATCACTATCCTGAACAATTTGGCACACTCCTTCACTACTGACATCTTCATGCTTATTTTTTGTCCTATTTTGTCCTGCTAATTGACACCAGGAGCCACTAAGTCTGGGGTCAAAAAGGAAGGGACTAGAGTTGACAGCTTCGATTTGTCTGAAAGCTTATACTAGTTTTATTTGGAAGTGAGGATTAATAGCAAAAAAAAAAAAAAAAAAAAATTGCATGAAGCCTTCAGGACAATGAATCAGGGGCTCAAGAAGAAACAACAACCTGCATGCTTGAAGGCCACTGAAAGGATGGGTGGAGACAGGTAATTTTTCTTTGCACATATAAAAGTAGCAGTGCTGAAGTTAGGGGAGAGGCAGGGATTGCTGAGGGGGGAAAAAAATAAACAAAAATTCCTGCAACTATTTCTAAGCCTGCTGGTGAAACTCCTTGGGAGCACTTTTGAGAACAAGATCTGTTCCTTTGAGAAACAGGTGGCAAAGAAGATAACTTCATTGCCTCAAATGAAAGGGAAAAAAGGTCAAATCCTCCTTCAGTGAAATTCTAGGCAGAGGCTCCAGAGCAACCCAGTCACTTTTGAAAAGATCAATCTGCCTGGCTGAGACCAATGTCATTTACATGTACAGCACAAGTTGGAAAACGACATGAGCACCACAAACAGTCCCAAGTTTGGTCTTGCTGTTTCTTTCTAGTCAGTCACACAGCTCTCAAGAGTTGTGTGGTCAGCCCACACCCAGTGCTACAGGCAGAAAAGACAGCCTTTGTTTTAAGAAATTTATTAAAATAAGGACAAGCATTGGTTGTACACAGAAAGAGTCATTGCACTAAATATAGAACTACAGCAAAAGAGCAATTTTAAATATATTTTTTAAAATCACAGAATACATTTTGGTTAAGGCACTATTTCCTATCTCATGTTTTAAATAAATATCTTGTTTTCTAAAAAGGCAGCATTGAGTATCTCTGATTAAATGAGTATAGGCACTATTGTGTTAAAAACAAACTTTGCTGTGGCCATTGTGTGTAATTTATTCTCAAAAGAACTTGTATTAGCCCAGACTTTTTTTTTTTAATGGACAATATGAAAAAAAAAATCAGTTTTCTCTTTCTAGTTTAGGTTTCTCCAATAGAAACCTATGTATAAAATATGCTGTTTTTTCATATATTCCTTGGCGTAAAATTTATGCATAGAGCACAAAAGATTATTTCTTGGAATTAAAGCCATCATAGGATATCTCAGAACAGCCTGAGTCTTTGGAAAAGTTTCAGTTCCAACTACAGTAAAATTAGTGGAGTTTACAAAACCCTGGGCCGTTTTTTATCCAAAAAGGCTGCTTTTTAAGCCCCCTCTGGTCAAAAGACTTTGCTAAGAGTCTGAGGGGCACAGACCCAGCTGTGTTGTCTGGTGTAGACAGAACACCAGACAGGATCCAAATGGCCTGGGCACTCATTCAGTGCCAAGAGTACTTCCTAATGGGAATTTTTCATTTTTTGGTATAATGCTCAGCAGCTCACAAGGCACATGAATGTATATCACCTCATTTTGTTCACCTCTAAGAGAAAATGTTAGTATTTGATAATTCTGCAGTCTTTTCCAGTTCTAGTTCCTTGCTAGTCTGACGATGTGAATTACTTTTGGTTATTTATAGCTGTTGTTGCTGCTGTCAGATAGGCCCCAACCACTCTGTAGACACAGTGACCCACAACAAAGGAGAAAAATTAACTTTCTATAACATGGTCAGATTGATCCATTGGTACAAATTCCTTCATTGAAGTACTCTATATTATATCACAATTTATTAGTCATGGAAGGCCACTGAGACTTCTCTTATTGGAAAATATAACTTGCATGGCAGAAGTAGGTTGCATAGACTCCTAAGACTAAATTCACATTATCATCACACATTTGCTTTATCCAGTCAGAGGATATTGGGTAGTAAGGCTGTGTATAGTCATGAGGTAAATGATTAGCAAGAAACTTGATGTGAGGCACATCTCATTTAGGGTGATGATTTTTTTTTTCCAGTTGTACAGAAGGGGCTGTTAATCCAATTTGTTTTACCACTGGTACATGATATTGAGATTGTAGGTTGACAAGTTTAAACTGAAAAATGTGCTTCACTTTTTTTGCAAGTAAACTAGACACATGGTCAAAGCTTTAGAAATCTGGGACCTACGTGCTCTGATACGGTAGAGAATACAGCTAATTTCATTCTGAAATGTATAACAACATTGCTTTCACCTGCTAATATTTAATCTTCAGTTTGACTTTGATATATAAAAATGAAGTTGGCTTTAAATTATAGGCACAGTTTTTGCGTTTTTACAAAATATTAACTTTAAAATCAGTCACTGAGAAGCAATTTGGATACAAAATATCTAATCACAAAAATAGAAAAGGTAATCAAAGAGCATTTCAGAAGGAAACTTAGGAGCCAAGGTGCATTTAGTTGAGCTTCTCCAGGGACCTGTAATAATCTGTCAGGACTTTCCATGCTTTGGGGGCCATGAAGCCATCTGGGGGATTTTCTCCTTCTCTGGCGAGTTTCCTCATACGGGTTCCTGAGATGAAGTCGAACTCATTGTGCCTGTCACAGTAGAGCAGCAAAGAACTCAGGGTAGGTCAGTAACATCTATCCTAAAGGTTCCTGGAATTAGGTTATGGGTTTATACACCCACATTATTTTCCTTTCTGTAAAATGTTGCATTTTTGAAAATGATCAGTTCACTAAATCTTCAGGAACTTGGCAGAGGAAAAAGGAAATCATGGCAACTATGTATTCAATATTTACTGTCACCTACTCTATTGTGAGAAGTGTCTTGAGGCCCAGGACTGTTTTCTATTTTTCTGCCTAGTTCTGTGGGCTCTCAGCCTGGGGAATGAGTGCATCATAAATACTCATTGAAATCTTTTTCTATGTTGCCCCCCGCCCTTAATGTCCTAAGTATTTGGTGCATGCTGAAAGCAGACATGTTGAGAAAGAAAAAAATATATATATATTGTGGAGCTGAGGATTGAATTCAAGAGAGTCTCATGCATGCTATGCCAGTGTGCTACCACTGAGCTACAACCCTGTCCTTGAAAGAAATATTTATGGACCATTTACTATGTGCATGGGACTGTGCTGCAACTTCAGGAGATAAAAAAAAAATGTCCAAGACCAAGTTTTGACTCCAAAGAGACTTCATTCTAACGGGGAGCGTGTGCAAATGTGCTGGAGAGTTTCCCAAAGGGCCAAAATTTTGTCTCATCATTCCAGTCATAAAGATTTTGACTAATTTTTCTCTGGAAACCTACCTTGTTGGATCATAGAAGTCCATGGCTTTTTTAGCCTTATTATAGGCAGCCACTCGGAATGGAATGATTTCCACAGAGGTGAGGCCAGGGGCCATGCTCAAGACCTTCCCCCCATGAGTGGGTTCATACAGGTCCTTCTTGGTCTCAGGGTGGGGCATTCCTGCAGGATCCCTGCCCACGATGTAGAAGTTGGCCCCTGCAATCATCCGGGCCCTGCAGTGCCACTGGACCTAGGAAACATCATATAAAGGACATGATGGTCACCACAGGCCAGGTCTATGGGTCTCTGCTTTAAAAGTAGTTCAGTAATACTGGTCACCTAAAAGTTGCAAGAAAGCCAGTCCTAACTAAGACTGTGCTCTCTTCTTCATGCTTGGTTCTGTTGGGTTCAATAGGAGCTTCAAAGAAAAGAATCACATAATACCCAAAGGACCTAAAATCAGCATACTGTAGTGACATGGCCACATCAATATTCATAGCAGCTCAATTCACAATAGCTGAGCTATGGAACTGACCTAGGTATCCTTCAATAGATGAATGGAAAAAGAAAATGTATATATACACGATGGAATATTACTCATCTATAAATAAAAATGAAATTATGGAATTTGCCAGTAAATGGATGGAACTGGAGTTTATGATGCCCAGTGAAATAAGCCAATCCGCCCCCCCCCAAAAAAATCAAAGGCCAAATGTTTTGTCTGATAGGTGGATGCTGACTCACAATAGAAGGGGTTGTGTAGGGAGGAGTAGAGGTTCACCAGATTGGACGGTGGGAAGGAAGAGGGAATGGGAATGGGTAAGGCAGTAGAATGAATAGGACATTACTTGCCTACATTCATATATGAATTCACAACCAATGTAACTCCACAGCGTGTACAGCCACAAGAATAGGAAGTTATACTCCATGTCTAAATGTTAAAATACATTCTACTGTCATGTATAACTAAAAAGAACAAATTTTTAAAAAGGCAAAACAAAAGAAAGGATCATATGAATTCCCTCCTTAGAACTCAAGGATGTATTTCCTCATCTCTTCTCCAAACAGGACAGCAGACTAGGAACACTCAGATCTACTGACCTACAAAAACTATAAACTTTGCTATCCCGTCCTTCCTTATTTGGCTAAATCACAGTTTAAAGGAAATTACAGACTCCAACATGAGCTAATAATTACCTTTCACATGCAAACATTGATTCCAGTTCAACAGAACACTGCCCTCTCTAAAGCTCAGATAGAAATACAAAGGATGGAGATTTAAGAGAATTCATGAACTTCAGTTTGGGGCAGCTCAAAGGTTGAGACTTTCATCATACTTTTTTCAGACTTCTTCAAACATTACACTGCTGGTGCAGTAGGACAAAGAAGATCCCTGATGGGCTCACTGGGTTAGGATAAAAGGGAAACATTTACCATTTTTGTGTGTATGTGTGGGCTGAGGATTAAACCCAGGTCCCTGTACATGCAGGCAAGCACTCTACCAACTGAGCTACATCCCCAGCCTGACATTTATCTTTTAAGGACATCCTCTCCCTTCTAAGAGGCTCACTGGGCATGTTGAATCATTTATGATGATTGAATATTAGGCTACATACAACTTGTCCAATAACCCAGATGAGCTCCATTACCTATCTGGTTCACAAGCCAGCCTCCATATTCTCAGAGGCAATATATAATAGGTTTGGCTTGATGTTTCTAGCATTTTTACAAATACAAAATGGCCACATTGTTAAACTGGACAAAGAGACCAGAATTTGCTCATGAGGAAGAGAAAAAGAATCACAGACTCATTCACTCTTCTAGATACACAGTTTGAGCCTGCGTCCTGATCTAATTGCCCAGCTCAGGGATTACTCACCTCTGTGGGGCCGGCATATAACATAGGAGATGGAAAGATAGCAACAATGGTTGATTTGGGGTCCAGGACCCCTTCCTCAAGCACAGCAGCATGCTGTTTCATCCGCCAGTCCAGAGGCACATCATCATCCTTGGTCCAGCCCCCCAGAGGGTGGAGCAGGAGAACTGGGTGTTTGTAGCCCCTCTCCAGGAGCCGGCGACGAGTGTCCTGCATCAACAGAGCATGACCATTGTGGACGGGATTGCGCAACTGGAAGGCAAACACTGCATCTGGGAGAGAAAAGCAGAAAAGTCAAGGTCAAAGAAACGCACTGTTTCTTGTCCATAAGAACAGACAGGAAAGAAAAAGCTATGTTTATAGTTCAGTGTATTCATTACATCCACTTGCTTTTGCCTATCAGCTGGATAATATGCCTGGCCATCAGGAGTGTTAATCAAACCCCACCAATCAATGCAAGATTGCTTAGACAATGAGAGGATGCAGACAGGAAGCCATCAAGGGAGGCTCAGGAATGAACACTTTTTTTTTTTTTTTTTGAACTGGGGATTGAACCCAAGGGTACTTAACCATTGAGTCACATCCTCAGCTCTTTTTTATATTTTATTTAGAGACAGGGTCTGTCTGAGTTGCTTAGGGCCTCACTAACTTGCTGAGGCTGGCTTTAAATTTGCCATCCTCCTGTCTCGGCCTCCAGAGCTGCTGGGATTCTAGGCATTCACTACTGTGCCTGGCTGAACACATTTTTTTGCAGGGCCTTTACTGCAACCAAGGTTCAGGAAGAATCAGTGTTAATCAGTGCTCTTGCTCTAGTCCTGTTTCCCCAGGAGATGAATAATAAGGAAGAACATTTCCTGGGGCCCATGCATGGCGCAATAATCTACAGATATAAATACTACTTTAGTGCACATCTAAACCCAATGACTCAGTAGGCTGAGACAGAAGGACTGAAAGTTCAAGGCCGCCTTCAGCAGCTTAGTGAGAACCTGTCTCAAAATAAAAAATAAAAAGGTCTGGAGATGTAGCTCAATGGTAGAGCACCCTTGGGTTTGGTCCCCAGTGCCACCAAAAAAAAAAAAAAAAAAAAAAAAAGACTTGACCATCATTTTAAAGTAGTTTTAAAGAAAGCTTAAAACCTACTCCACACAATGATAGACTTCTGAGAGCCTTACTCTCTTTCTGGTGGTGAAATATAGTTAATATATATCTAGAATATAACAATCATTCATAATTCTATCATTACTTTTCCTTCTCTTTTTCAAAATGTATAAAGAATTACAATCTTCCCTTCTCCTTAGTCCAACTCCATCCCCAAGAGGTAGGTAGTTGCTGTTATCTGCCGTTTGGTGCCATATTACCCCAGAAACTTTTCTGCTTTTATATACACAGGTTAGGGTTTTAAAAATGATTTTTTTTCTTCCAAAATATGATTGTGCTGTACATATTGTTCTGCAATTTGCTCTTTTACTTAATACATTTTAGGTATCTTTCTGTGTCTGTGCATATTTCTAACTACTGCATAGTGTTCCAGCATATGAATAGACTACAAATTTGAACTGTTTCTATATCATAGATATACCTATAGATATTTTCATTTTATTTTATTTCTGTTTATTTATTTATTTATTTTGGTACTGGGAATTGAACCCAGAGTCGCTTTACAAAAACTGGGCTACATCCCTAGCTCTTTTTATTTTTTTTAATTTTTTGGTACTGGGGATTGAATTCAGGGACACTTAACCACTGAGCCACATCTCCACTTTGTATTTTATATTTTATTTGTATTTTATTTAGAGATAGTGTCTGAGTTGCTTAGCACCTCGCTTTTGCTGAGGCTGGCTTTGAATACGAGATCCTCCTGCCTCAGCCTCCTGAGCCACTGGTATCATAGGTACGTGTCACCGTGCCCAGCTATTTTTTTTTTTATTCTGAGAACAGTTCTTGCTTAGTTGTTTAGGACACTGTTTAAATCACTGAGGCTGGCCTTAAACTTTCTATCCTCCTGCCTCAGCCTCTGGAATAGCTGGGATTACAGGCCTAATACCAGATGTTTTCATTTTAAAATACTGATTCCTGATATCTTTAATTCTTTTATCAGACTATGGTAGGCAGTACTAACAAATGCACTCAAAGCAGTTTACATACCAGCATTCATTTCTTTACATTTCTGTTTGAGCTCCAGAGGTGTCAGACGGTATTGGTCCAGCCCGTCATTCCATCTTATTCTCTCCAGCACCTGAAGGTCTCCACCAACCAGCCAATCCCCACTTTCCATCACCATCTAGAAAGAACATGATTAAGTGCCCCTGGATTCAAGTTCCAGTATTTTTTTAAAAAAGCTATTTCATAAAGAACAAAACCATAAACAAAAAAAGCATCTAACTTCACTTGTAGCTCAATCATACAAGTACTTTTTCCTTAAGCTAACCATTGTATGTTAGTATATGCAGTGGAAGTACTTTAATGTGTACTTCTCTTTTTGTAACAGGATGTGAGAGAGACATGAATTCAGGTCAAGATTTAATAATCATTTTTAGAGCTTCATCAAGAACATTCTTGGGGCTGGGGTTGTGGCTCAGTGGTAGAGCACTTGCCTAGCATGTGTGAGGCACTGGGTTTGATTCTCAGCACCACGTATAAACAAATAAATAAATAAAAGTCCATCAATAACTAATAAAAATTAAAGAACATTCTTAATTCAAGTTTCTTTTTTTTTATGCAAGCTCATGTTGATGGAGAGTACAATGACCATGCATCTAGTTAGCTGTCACCATTTAGAGTCTAAGGTGCCAGTTTTATGCATGGTTGCTTTTATATCAACTGTGCAACTGTCAACACAGATACACAGTCTTTGTATCATGAGCATAATTTTATGCTTGGAGATTCTCTGGCTAGCTCATGGACAACTCCAGGGTTTGGGAACCACTTCTAGCATACTGCTCCTACAGTCTGATGTATCTTGGACTATTTCTAGTAAGGACCCAAAATAGAGGCCCTGGGGAGGGGGGAATCAGACAAGTTGTTTTCTACCAGTTAATTATTGTTTAGCATAATTTCTAAGGAAACTCTCAAAAGATGAAGCTTCCTTCACTTATATCCACTTTAAAATTAAATCACCAAAGAGCAGCAAAATGTAGCAAAGTCTGCATGGCAGGCTAGACATAGACGGTTCACTAAAACCCCATTTTCTCAATGATCTTCATTAAGGACATCAGGATCACTCTGGGAGAAAGGACAGTCCTTTCAACAAATGCACTGGGGAAAAGGCACACTCATATATTGCTGGTGGGACTGCAAATTGGTGCAACCACTCTGGAAAGCAGTATGGAGATTCCTCAGAAAACTTGGAATGGAACACTTTGACCCAGTTATCCCATTCCTTGATAGGCACCCAAAGGACCTAAAATCAGCATACTACAGTGAAGCAGCCACATCAATGTTATAGCAGCTCAATTCACAATTGCTAAACTATGGAACCCTTCCACAGATAAATAAAGAAAATGTGGTATATATACACAATGGAATATTACTCAGTCATAAAGAGAAACAAAATTATAGCATTTGCCAGTAAATGGGTGGAACTGGAGACTATCATGCTAAGTGAATAAGCCAATACCAACAAACTAAAGGCCGAATGCTTTCTCTGATATGCCGATGCTAACTCACAATCAGGGTAGAGGGAGACAGGGAAGAATAGAGTACTTTGAATTAGACAAAGGGGAATGAAGGGAAAGGGGGAAAATGGGAACAGGTAGTAGAACAAGACAGTAGAATGAATCAGACATAACTTTCCAATGTTCATATATGAATCTTACACCATATCTTACACTTACACTTATCTTACACCATAAACAGAACTTAACTCAAAATGGATTAAAGACATACATGTAATACCTAAAACTACAAAACTCTTAGGTAAAAATGTAGGGAGAAACAAGGAATTCAGTAGTGATTTCTTGCGTATGGAACCAGAAAAGCACAGGCAAAAAAGCAAAAGTAGACAAACGGGATTACTTCAAATTTAAAAACTTGTGTGCATTAAAAAATGGTCAACAGCTGGGCGTGGTGGCGTACCCTGTAATTTCAGGGACTCAGGAGACTAAGGCAGGAAGATCACAAGTTCAAAGCCAGCCTCAGCAACTTAGCGAGGCGCTGAGCAATTTAGAGAATCTTTGGTTTCTGCCTCCTGAGTGGCTACAGGTCCGTGCCACTTCACAGGACTGAGAGGGTCTTGAAGAGATGTTGCTCAGCAACTATTCACAATGGCCAAGAGGTGGAAGCAAACCAAATGTTCACCAGTGAATGACTGGATCAATAAAATGTGGTATACACTTACAATGGAATATCATTAGCCTTCAAGAGGAAAAAACATCCTGTTAAATGCTACAACATGGATGAACCTGGAGGACATTCTGGTGAGTGAAATAAGCCAGTAGCAAAGAGACAACCACTGAATGATTACATCTATATAAGGACAACTTGTCCATCTGAAATATTAATATAGGAGGAGGTGCAGTGAGCAAAAGAAAGCTGATTGATTTAAAAGGTTGCTGAAAGCTGCTCAGAGGCTGAGTCCAGAGGATCCAAGTGTAAGGTCTATTTGGGCAACTCAGTGACAGCCTGTCTGGGAGAAAAAAAAAATGAAATTAAAAAAACAACACCTAGTAGGAAGGCACAAAGGTAGTAGTGGAGTGTTCCTTGAACCTTGCTGTTATGGCCAGATATTGGGGTTTACAATGACCTGCATCCCAGAGGAGTCCAGGGAATGGGGTTGAGGTGAGCAAGTGGTGGTTCTCAATATTCTGCTCATGGTGACATTTGACAGGCATTAGTGATTGCCACATTTAAACTAGGAGAAAGTATGCTATTGACATCCAGTGTGTAAAGGATAAGGATGCTACTATATATCCTGAGCTGCATGGAACAGCTGCCCACCTTCCTCCATGCACCAATAAAGAATTATCTGACCCCAAATGTCAATAGCATTGCAAATGAGAAAACTGGGGTAGAGCAAGGGTAATTGGGCAAGGTATTTGGTTCTGTTTTCATGGCCCCCTTTGTAAGCCCTGTACTCAGGCAAATTATTTAAAAGAATATTTTCAAACACCCATAACTATATATAACTTTGTCCTCATTGCTTAAACTTAGACAACCAATAAAATTTTCAAATTAAGACCCCAAATCCCTGTGGTGCAGTAGCTCATCTGGACACTAGGGGTCCTCCCTGCACTGCATTGCTCTATTGAAGACGCTGACTTCATTTACCACCCAGCCTGAAAGCCAGTCTGATGAGCAGTGTTGAAAGTGTGACATTGGCATTTCTATGATGGGGCAGAATGACTGCAAGGGCAATGCCCTCTCTGCGGTGTTCCAACTATCCCCAGACTGGGTCCAACTGTCAGGAAGGGAGGTCCAGTGCTTGTGGCCTATAAGTTCCCACTCCCTCTCAAGCCTCCTGCCAAAGGGAGTAGGAGGGCCACAGCCAGGGGATTTGCAAAACTGGATGCACCCAGAAGAATGAGGATCAGGCTTAGCAAGTCTGGTGGAGTGGTGAAAGAGGAATTGGGTTTGGAATCACAGGCAAGAAGAATGCATAAAGGAGGAGATAATGAGTTCAAGCACTGGAGCAAAGACTAAGAAAGCCGTGGCAAATAGAATGGGCCCAGAGAGGGCAAGGAGAGGAAGAAGGCAAGGGAGTGGGCAAACTGAAAGGAGAGGAACAGCTGAGAGTGAGAAGCTGCAGAGGCCAGAATGAAAAAAGAAGAGAGAGTAGAAAAAGAAATAGTAGGCTCAGGAAAATAAGGCCACAAATATGGTCATGATGGAAGGGGTTCAAAGAAAAGAATTGAGAAGAAAAACCAACATGATACAAGCGGGGGATATACATTCTGTTCTGCAGTGTCTATCATAGTCATGGAATCTGGAGTTTTAAGGGACCTGGAAATCATGAGGATCTAATGTTTTCATTTTCAGGTAGGAAGGCAGTTTTGTGGAGGGAAAGTAGCATAGTTCAAGGGCACACAGCTGTCTTACCAAAGCCAGAATCCAAGTCTAGGATTTTTACAAACCAGGGCTTTTCTTTCCACCACACCCAGTGCCTCTAATCAGTGGCCCACTGCTTCCTGTTTCAGCCTCACCTTCAGTAGTACCTGTCAGAGGTGTGGGCAGGACAAGTACAAATTGCTCTGGGAGCATTCAGAAGGCATTTATTCATGCTTATGTGTCATGTGCGTTAGGGCTGACTTTCTTAAAGGAGGGAATAAGATGAAGAGGCAGGAGTGGACAGTGTCCTACGCTGAGGGAATGAGCATGTGCAGAAGTAAGAGAGGGTATCATTTACTGACCAGAAGAAGATGTGCTGAGTGGCAGTGGTGAAAGGCTAAGAGATAAGTCCCATCTTTGCAAAGGGGTTCTCAAATAAAGTTTGAACAGTTCACTCTGGCTGAAGAATAGATTAGAGGGATAGGGAAGAAATGAAATGTCCTGGCCCAAACTGAAACAGGAGTGAATAAATTTAAGTAATACCTGGGAGGCAGAACTTTGTGGTTGAATGAGCAAGAGGAGAAGTAAGAAGCAAGAACGACACCCAGGTTTTGGTTATAGATCACCATTTGGATGGTGGGGCTGTTGGTGAGATAAGGGACACATGAGGGGGAACAAATCTAGGGAGAGGATGAGCATGTTGAGTTTGGGGTGTTCTTCGATATATCCAGGTGAAGTCATAGGAAACAGCTCCAGGTAATTATCTACTGAAGTAGTTCTCAGCACATTCAAATCATGGTGAGATTTAAAACCTCCCAGGACCAGGACTGATCCAAAGCCAATTTAATCAGAATCAGTGAGAGTGGGATCCCATCATGGGTAATTTTTAAAGCTGCCCAGGTAATGCTATTGATCGAACTGAACTTCTGGTCTGTATTGTGGAGTTAAAGGACATAATTATGACCTCTTTTTCCTATCCTTCACTGGGAAGTCACACTTTGTTCTCTTAGTTTCTACATCTATAAAATGAAAGAAATGATTTTTTTTTCCTACTTCACAAGAGCATTGTGAGAAATAATTACTGCCTGGAAAGGCTTTGAGAGCTATGGATGAAAGGCATCTGGGTTTCTCCAAGCGTTATTTTTACAAGTTTCACCGGCTCTTCCTCATGATTTCATCTGGGATCATGTCACATGGTTTCATAGTGACTCAACAGAGTCCTTGAATGGACCGTCAGGAGTGTCATCAATGAGGAGCTATGGGAACAGACAGTCCGTTTCCTTGGTGACATAAAGAAAATGCCATTCCCAGTGCCACATGGAAATACAAGTCCTATGATTACTTTTGGGAGTAACAACTTTTGGAGGTTTAGGGTTCTAAAAAAAAATTATGCTAAAGTATGACTGAGTTCCAGGCAGCTAAAAAAAAAAAAAAAAAGCACAGCGAAGAGCTTTTTTCCCAATAAAACCAGTGTTTGTGTTTTCCAATAAAATTCTGTGTGTCTGGTAGATGCAACAACCCAAGGGTAGTGTATACCGGATGAGTGGCTTTCTTTCTCTGGTTATCCATGGCCCATTTCTCACCATTAGCTCACTGAGAATGTTTATAGAGTCTCTCTAACGATCTAATGGTACAGAGTCACTGACAATATTGTCAAAGTCACGATAGCACTCCTTGGCTTCTAATTCTTACTCCAACTGCTGACATACATCAGCAAGACAAGATGAAAGACATAATCACTTAAGATCACCCAAGAGCTTCCTGAGGGTTTTTTTTTTTTTTTTTTTTAAGTGCAAGTCATGTGTATGTGGATGTTAGACCTAAAGAATAGAAATATCTGATCTGCCATAATGAAAAGCCGTTATTCTTTGGGTCACTGGGCAAAGATAAGATCCCAAACCCATATGATTAGGATCAGGAAAGAAATGACCAGAAATATATTTGAAGCCTAGAACAAAATATTCCTCAAACAGCTCTAAGTCAGTATTCAGAAATTACAAGAACTGTCTGGCAGCCTCTTTGAGAAAAACCGTGTAAATGTATTTGATCTAGATATGCATTAAGGTTGAAGATTCTTATTGTTTTTTCCTCTCCTAATGCTGGGTATTGAACTCAAAGATGCTTTACCACTGAGCTACATTCTCAGCCCTTTTACCCTTTATCGTCATCATCATCATTATTTTGAGACAGGTTCTTACTAAATTGCCCTAGCTGGCCTTGAACTTGCAATCCTCCTGCCTCAGTCTCCTGGGTTACTGGGATTACAGGCATGAGCCATTGCACCTGGCTAATGATGCTGATCTTGAGGGTGGCTAGCTATATCCAGTGAGTGAAGAGGCTGCTTTGCTTGCCCAGTGCCCTCTTTCATTCGGATTAAGAAATTCCCTGGAGCCACTCTTGGGACAGGACCAAAAGGGCCATAGTTCGGTTCCCTTGCTGAGGCTTTTGGCAGGCTGTTATGTTTTATTTTATGTTTTTAGTATGTAGCCAAGGCCATAAATTGGCTATGTTATGGTTAAGGTGTAGTCAAGGTCAGAAACATTATATATATATATATATATATATTTTTAAGTTGGACATGATACCTTTATTTCACTTATTTATTTTTATGTGGTGCTGAGGATCGAACTCAGGGTCTTGCACATACGAGGCAAGTGCTCTACCGCTGAGCGACAACCCCTGCCCAAGGTCAGAAACATTCTGATTCAGTGTACATGCTCAAGGTTATAAACATTTGCTTGTGAGCATGCCCATTGATGTAATCTGTTGGCAGTGTGCCTTCTTTGTTAGGACTGTATATAAAAAGGGAGCTAAGTACAACTGGCTGGGGGCTGAAGCTGGAGGCTAGAGGCTGTTTCCACCTCTGAATAAAGCATGTCTACTATCCTAACAGCATTCTGCCTCTTCTTCCACCTGCTGGGATCCCAAATCTGTTTCCTGGGTCTGAGCCCTGGCATAACATCTACCAACAGGGACCTTGAAAATGTCCTTTCTGTCTTGGAGCATTTCACAACTGAGAACAACAGCAGCATAATTTTCTCTGGGGTCAAGGGACTGGAAGAAACCTTAGAGTTATTTTGCCTGGCCGTTTCTTTTGTCAGTGAAGAAACAGGTCCAGAAAGATAGCATACTTTGTCCACCAGGAGGCTTCTTAGAGCCTCTGGGCCTTGAACTGCTCTTGATGAAACTTGGGAACTTGCTGAAAGTTATTCCAGTTGGGGAATCTGAGAAGTCAAATTAGTAGTATTTCTCTCTCTTCATTTTCCATCCTAATGTGTTTATCTTGGATGAGAAATGGTTTCTGAATCCAATTTCACATATTTTTATTTATGGGAAATGGAGATCCCATAATGCCCTCTCACTCTCACCCCCACCCCCAACAGCAGTTAGAAGTTGTGAATGAACCTGAGGAGGTTCATTTATGATAAATGATCCTACTCAGAGGAACACATTTTTCAATCTTGAACATACACACTGATGAAAATGTATTAACCTTCCTCTGGGAACTCGGCCACTAACTATGCTGATTTGTGTTTACTGAAAAGGTTCTTTGACCCCCTCACTGGCCACAGAGCATGAACTCTGAGTTCACTCTCCAGAGGTTGACTGGGTTTGTTCTGTGTGAAGATATTTTCCTTGATCTTTTTTAAGATGAACAGGGCTAGCGGTGAGTTTGTGCATAACTACACAAATTTAGTCTGGTATCATGATTTCCACTCATGACACCAGACTAATTTATCTACACACTCCCATTTAGCTGAGGATGTGACCATCAGAGGATCTGAGGTCTCAAGGATCTCAAACAGAAAGACATTTCTGTATCCCCCTTTAAAAATATCTTCCAAAGCCAAGCTTGCAAAACCAATCTTAGAAAAGCATTCTTCCATTGAACCTCATTCTTCCATTGATTCCTCCATGAAGGAATTAAAAAGAATGATTTCTGTTCTTGGTTGAAATAGATCAGGAAAGTCCTTCCAAAGATCTCACAACTTACTTTGATATGGGGATGTTTTGAACATGTGGTCCCCCACACGCGGGAACAGTGCTCCTCTTTCCTATGCTCGTAGAACTCAGGGTCATGCATGATAGCCACTCTTTGTCCACCATGTGTCAGGACAAACTTGCTGCACCCTTCCAGCCGTGTCTTATCATCCGTAGAGACGGGCAGCACGATGGGAATGCTCATGTTGATCACTCCATCTGTGGAAAGACCCGTGTGATATGTGAACACTGGAAGTAAGGTGTGCCCTCTCTGCAGGATGTCTCACATGTGCACAGTGTCCCTTCCAAAGAGTCCCTTTGAATGCTTTAAAACCCAAATCCAGCATGGCTAGGTCAGCTGTGTGGGGTTTTGTTTTTGTTTTTGGTACCGGGGATTGAACTCAGGGGAACTCAGCCGCTGAGCCACATCCCCAGCCCTATTTTGTATTTTATTTAGAGACAGGGTCTCACTGAGTTGCTTAGTGTCTTGCTATTGCTGAGGCTGGCTTTGAACTCATGATCCTCCTGCCTCAGCCTCCCGAGCCACTGGGATTACAGGTGTGTGCCACCGCACCTAGCTGCTTGTGGGTTTTTCTAGAATTACTGATGAGAAGTCCTGAAGGGCTTCCCAGAGCAGGAGATGGGCAGTGGGTGAAAAGTGGGCTGAGTGGCCCACAAAGGTGGCCTAACCTTGGGTATGGGAAGGCCATGTATCTCTTTTGGGGTTCTGCTTTTGTTTGTTTGGTACTGGCGATAGAACCTAGGGATGCTTTAAAACTAAGCCACATCCCCAGCCCTTTGTATTTTTTTATTTTGAGACGGGGTCTTGCTAAGTTCCTGATAGATACTCATTGAGTTGCTGAGGCTGGCCTTGAACTTATGATCCTCCTGCCTCAGTCTCCTGAATAGATGAGATTACAGGTGTGCATTACCACACTCGGCCTGGGTTCCATTTTTAAAGCTTTGTCCTGATCCCAATGCACGAGGAAGCTTAAAGCCTTCAAAAACCCAATTAAACAAAATAAAGTTTGATGAAACAAAACAAAACTCTCTAGTTTTTTTGGAAACCAACACTAGGCATGGCCAACCCACTGAATTGAAAAGAGAGGAAAACTCAAGACAACCCACAGTCCCTGGGACCCCAAATACGTAGTCCTTCTGATGCTCACTGTGGTGCAGGCACAGCAGCACCTTTCAATATTTTTGAAGAGACTGGTAATCTGACTTTTCTGGGAGTCATGAGTCTTGCAAGCTTAACTGTAATTGAGAACCATCAGCCAAAAAATAGGAGGAATAAGAAATGACAGGAGGCCATTACTGAAGCTCCTGCATTTTCTTTGGAAAGTGAGTCCCTCTCACCTTTATGCTGAGTCTTTAAGAGGAATGTAAGTAAACTGCATGTTCCGACTTCTCAGTATATAACACAATGAATCAGAAGGTATAGAATGCACGGTTCAAAGAAGCTACGCCTTCAGCAACATAGCATGTCAACATCTTGACCACAAAGGAAGAGGCAGGAAAACTCTTGATAACAAAGAAACAGGGATGGCTGATTTTATATGAACTCTTGAGTTTGCTCTCCACGGCTAGGCCATCATACCCAGATATTTGGTCAAATGTTATTTTGATGATTCTTTGAAGATAATTTTAGATGGGATTAACATTTAAATCAGTAGACTCTAAGGAGCTCATCCTTCATAATGTGGCTGGGCCTCCTCCATTCAGTTGAAGGCCTGAAAAGAAGACTGATCTCCCCAGAAGAAGGGGGAATTCAGGCAGCAGGGTGCCTTTAGATTTCGACTACTACGTCTCTGGGTCTCCAGCCTGCTGGGCTACCCTACAGATTTTAAAGTTGCCTCCAATCGCACGAGGCAATTTTTTAGGGTAAATCCTTTCTCCTTCCCCCTGTCCCCTTCACATATATGTATATGTGTTATGTTTTTTGTATGAGAACACTAACACAGAAGCTAAAAATACAGAAACACCAATAATCTCACAAATGTCTCAGGTATCAGACATGAAAGCCCAGCTTAATAACTAGTAGGAGTAATGAAAACAGAGTTATTGAAAAGTTTGCTTATGTTAAACTTTTGTGTGTGTGTGTGTGTGTGTGTGTGTGTGTGTGTGGTGCTGGGGATTAAACTCAGGGTCTCACACATGCTAGGCAAGTGCCTATCACTGAGTTTTGCTTCCCCCTCCGTCCCCCAGTGAATTTTTTTTGAGTGAATAAGGGGGTTATTTTTTTTAAGTAAGAATATTTTGAAGTGTCTCTAGATAAAATAGTTAAAATATGTAATTGTTTTTCAGTTGGAAGCTTAAAAGAGTAGAAATTGACTCTCATGTTTGAACAATGTCAATGTAAAAAAATAAATATGAAACCGTGCCCCCCAATATCTTTTGTAACAATGCTCTAACATTCTAATAAGCACATCTGCCTCTCAATTGTACTTACAGGTGAAATTGTACTTACTGGTTAGGTGTGTAACACAAAAGAAATATCAGGGAAACAGATTCCAAAGAGAATCAAAGGAAGATGAATAAAGGAAACATTCAATTCCAGAGTAAATACGAGCAGCTCTTCATGGATTTGAGAAAATATGTCATAAACTAATGAAATCATTTAAATCTAACTTTCAAATCCAACACTTACAATGCCTCTGACAGAGTTAAATATTTGAATTCTATTGTTTTGGGGCATGAGACTCTACCTTAGCAGCTATAAAACCAAATTTTCCAGGCATATCACTTTGCACCTTTTAAACACTCTCTAAAATTACTAGGACCTAAGAATATCATAGAATACAGACAGCAGTTACCAACCACAAAGAAACCCAGACTATCATAAAAATTCTGCAACATACATTAGGACCCTTAATAAGACACAAATTAGATATGTGCCTTACAAAAGTAAGTCTTTTGTCATTCAAACAACTCTTTGTTTCCAAGGTCAAGGACACTTAGAGCAGCCAACCCCTTTGCAGAAAACACTAAAGTCTAAGTGGGGAATTTCCCACTTACAAAGTATGTGTCATTCAAATTCTCTGAATTCAGTTTCCTCACTTTAAAAAAAAAAAAAAAAGAGGGGAATAGTAAATAAGATGTATTTCTCTGGTTTGATATGAGGGGGCATACTGTTCAGCACTAAATTAATGGTGGTTCATGATGAAAGATAATTAAATATACAGTAGTTCAAGTGAGGAAAAGAGAGAGAAGTAAATTAAGAATACCACTTTCAAGGATGCTGACATTCTAATTAGAAATTGTGCTTATGCCAGACATGGTGGCCCCATGGTATAATCCCAGGGAGGCTGAGACAGAGGATAGAAAGTTTGAGGTCAGAATTGGCAATATTTTGAGACCCTCAACAATTTAGCAAGACCCTGTCTCAAAATAAAAATAAAATAAAAATAAAAAGGATGGGGATGTAGCTGAGTCATAACTAAAGCACCCCTGAGTTCAATATTGTATACCAAAAAAACCCCAAAAACCATGCTTTCTTTGGATTGCTTACTAGTCATACTTGCTAAAAGAAGGACCATGATATTTGACTCTGTTTCTAAAGAATGACTTGACCAGAATAAAGCAATCTGCAAAGCCAAAAGTAGGACATCACGCTGGAGGAAGCCTCGTCCTGCCAGCAACATGCCTGCAACTTTGTCTTGCATCAAATGTTCTGGGTGGAAATCCAAGGGATGCTTCACTTCCCGTTGCAATTTTCTCCTCTGGTCCACCAGGTTACTGCCCAACGTAGCCTCTATTCCCCCTTCATCTCGTCCTGGAGTAGGCATCCATAGTGACTAAGCAGCACGCCCCTACCGTGGTCCAGGTCAAGGAGTGCATCTGTAGGATGCTATGGAAAGTAGTCCTACTGATCCCACACCTGTGGCTGCAACTGCATTTGGGAATAAACAGATTTACTGTGGGTTCCCTATCATCTTTCTCAACTTTTCTAATACATAATCTTAACTGTGCTAAACATCCTCCGTGGCTTTAAACATTGATTCAGGCTTTCTGTCTTTCCCTTCATGTGATTCCAGTTCTGGTGGGAACTACCTTGGGATCATGTAGCACATCCCGTTATGGAAGAGTACTGTTTTTTTTTTTTGTTTTGTTTTGTTTTGTTTTTAACGAAGGTAAATCCAACAGATAACTTCCTGTTCAACTGAATGATTTTTCTTTTGCTTTAAAAATATTTTTCAAGCCTTCTGTTTCAGTTTTGGAGATCTGCTTATGGGTTGTATAGATTTTCTGTGTAAACACCAAGTTAATCTTTGTTATATAACTAGGTTTTTTTTTTTTTTTTTAAGGAAGAATAACAATGATGAAAATAATATCAGAGATAAATGATACCTTTGGAATTTTACCTCTTCATTCTGGTACAATTCAGAAATTTACATTCATAGCAAATGTATATTTATTCCCATTTCTATAACTATCAATTATGATAGCTTGAAATTAAATTCATGCATAATCACACATCACAAATAAAGTACAATCATACACAATCCAACCAGGTGCATCCACTTTAAATTGCATCTAAAAAGGATTTTTATCCTTCATTAATTAAAATGTTTTGTAAACATGGTAGAATTTCCAAATTTGTGGAGCTAAAAGGGAACCAAGAGTCATTGGGAAAGAATTATAAATTTAAAAGTACTCATGAACAAAATATGCAACAATAATTTAGAAACAAGTTTACTTTCATCAGCTAAACACAACATTATAAACAATAGTTGCACCTAATCCAGAAATTTCCTGTTACTCCAATTAGCAGAATATAATGTACTATTATTCTACTATAACTGGTTGGATCATGAATTGATAACGATTCCAACTGGTTAATTAAGATTTTTTTTTTAGTCATGTCTTCAACCATTTTGAATTAATGCAACATATCTAATTATAATAATTTAACTACTTGGAAAGTTAAAGTACATACCATAAAGGACCATGCCTAGAGAAATACAAACACAATTAAGAAATATGTTTTCAGCTCTCCACCAAAATAATCTTAAAGTAACAATGTCAAGGAACCAATTCCTGTTATGACACTTCACATTTATAACATACAAATATACTGAACTCTTCCGTTATGCTATGTTTAAAAACAAAGAATATATGACACCAAAATGTTGATAAAACTCAGAATTTGTATGGAATATTGTTCAATACATTCCAAAAACATTGTTAGGATGAATACCTGTTTTTAAAAAAAACAGATTATTTTATAATTATAATATGTTAATAACCCTTCCAACTTCAGCAAGAAGTTATCTCTTGTAAACATGTGATATTACAACCACTGTCAAATGATTTCCAAACCAAGCTCTGGGAGAAGGTGTAGAAACCAACTACCCCAGGATTTCTGGAATCCCAGGTAATTAGAGGACATGAAAGCATGCCCAGGAAAATAAGCACAAGTGTCAGAGCCTGGATAAGCTGGATTTGAATACAAGCTTCAAGTAAGTTGTTTAACTTTTCCAACTTTCTTCCTTCTGTGGATAAAATATCTTCACAGTGGTGTTATCCAGACTAAATGTGATAGCCTACATCAAATTCCAGAGTCACTGGTGTTAGTAAGTGCTGGTGGTGTGTGTGGCACCCTGGTGTCCTGCCTTGGAAAGCCAGCTGCAGGAGAATTGCCATTAAGTGACGGTGTCTCACAAGGCTGTCACGTCTTGATCCCATTTGGAAGTCATCAATGTAAACTTGGTGTTCCATATTTAAATGTAAATGGGACATGATAGGAGGGTCTGTGACAACCCTGGAACTATATTTCCAGTGAGAGATAAAGTGACACAATACATTGATACGGAAGTGGGCCCTCCCTCCTCATAATATACAGTTACCAAAATCACTGACAAATAATTCCTTTTGGGCTTTTGTTTTGCAGCTGTTTGATGATAGGTGAAAGTGAAAATGTGTCTGTGGCTACAAAAAAAACATTTCAAATTTTCAGTGGCATTGAATCAAACCTTTAAGAATTATATTGGGGCTGGGGTTGTGACTCAGTGATAGAGTGCTCGCCTAGCACCTGGGAGGCACTGAGTTTGATACTCAGCACCAAATAAAAAATAAATACAATAAAGATATTGTGTCTATCTACAACCAAAAGAATCTTTAAATGGTTTTATCTTCATATAGCTGAATTTGTCCATTTAAAAAATTAAATTATATCGATATGAATGATATCTTGCCCCATCTTATGATATATAAAGAAATCTCTTTTGAGAGTTTAATTCTGTGTCCCCAGTCCTGACGCCATCAAGCCAGGCACTGCCAGGAAATTGCTGTGGTATGGAAAATGTGGAAAGTTCCATGGTATGAAAGCAGTTTCCACTGGCTTCCTCCAGATACCCACCAGCCTGCTGCCCAGGAGGAAGGCCAAGCTCCCAGCCCCTCCTAGGGAAGAAATTCCACTTCATCTGTGGTATATATTACATCAGGTTTCCCTGAAATAAAGAATTCTATGGTCTCAAAAGAATCACTGATGTGGGAGAACCTGCTGCTCTCAGGCTTAGAGGAGAAGCCTGTCTGTCTGTCTGTCTGTCCAGTAAGTGAACATCTGCCTTCACAGCCACTCTGTCCTCAAGTGCCAGGTTAACTTGTTAAAGTATTAACAAATACTTATACAAATAAGTATTTATTGCTGGCTGATGAGATTATCTGTGCTAATTCAACCTGATGTGACTGTGTATAAGCCACTTAGTGTTTTCAACCCTCCAAGTTCTTTTAACTGTATGCAGTAGGGTTTTGTTCATGATAATAGCTAACATGTGTGGAACATTTACTATTGGACTGCTAAAACTTTCAATATTCCAATAAAGTCAGTGTGTAACTAATATTCCCAAAGATGAGGCAACTAAATGCAGAGAGTGTTGTAAGTAATTTTGGCCCAGGTTCATAGTTCATCACTGACATACAAACCTAGCTCCCAGTTTGGCTTCACAGCTCATACTCTTATCTACTACGATATTCTACCTCTGCTTTGACTAAAACTAAACTGAGATACAGAAAGTGGCAGAGATAGGCAGGAAATCATATCCTGGTATACTTTTTTTTAATTGATTGATATAAGAATGGAGGAGGTTTCTGGGGGGTATGCAGAACTTGACTGTAACTGGGGTTGCACAGGTGTTCCCAATGGACTCTGGTTGCAGAGGCAAATGTGCAGCCAGCAGAAAATTTCCATAAGGAAACAAGGAGTCTTCCAGAAAGCCCCAGAAATGGGGCCGGAAGGGTGGAAGGGGTTAGGGGTCATGGAAACAGCATGACATCTGCACCTGAACCCCTTGTGACATATCCCCACTGGAGACACAGGATAAAGGGATTCATACAGATTCCAAGGCATTTGGTGGGACTCAAGCAACTCACTAGAGAGTGCTCAATTGAGGTTAACACAGAGGAAGGGAACATTCTTCTTCCCACTTGAGAAACAGCCCCACCAGTTACCAAACTTAAGTGGCCTGGGAAGGATTTATACCACTGTGGACACAGATAGCCACACGTATCCACACAGCAAGTGATACGTGGCCATGGGCCTGATGCAGAAGCACAAGAAACACACTTCCTATGAACCCTTGGGCTTAAGCTTTGGAAAGAACTGGAATTTCATATGAATAGATAGACTTGAAACCATTGGGGCTCAAGTAGCAATGGGAACGTGAGCTCACTGGCATCCCTATGGTGGTGGGTTTAAGAGCCAGACATTACATGGATTATATGAGAAGTAGGAGCAATAAATGCTTCATTCACCTCATGGTAGTAAGGACCAAATAAGGAGTAGAAAATCAATGTATTTTGCTCATGAAATGAAATGGATATGGTGTGAGAGAGAATTTGCCCAAATCACCAGATGGATTATCTGCATTAGTTATTTTTCATCTTTTTTGGGTCATAGACTCTTTTTTTCCCCCTGTGGTGCTGGGGATTGAACCCAGGGCCTTGTGCATGTGAGGCAAGCATTCTACCAACTGAGCTCTATCCCCAGCCCAGGTCATAGACTCTTAAGAATTCAGCAGACACTATGAACTCTGAGCTCAGGAAAATGACCTCTCCTCCCCTTCTCAGAACAAGCTACTTTTGCCCACTCTGGGATGTTTTCTGTCCCCCACTGAAGACCTAGATCCTAGGTTAAGGAACGTGGACTGCCATTAACATTGACTACTGCAACCATATCTGCCACACTGGCATTTTTCTTTATGGAACAAATACTTGTCAAAGGCACCATCTGTAAAGGGGCCTCTTTTGATGTGATTCACTTGTCTTTTTTTTAAATTAATTAAAAAAATTGTTCTAATGAGTTATACATGACAGTAGAATGCATTTTGACACATCAGACATAAATGGAGTATAACTTCTCATTCTTCGTCTTTTGGCCACAGCTCCAGTTTGGATGCTCATAGTCATGGATGGCTGCAGAATTCAGGGACATTTTCTTGAAGCAGCCTGTGTCTGGCAAGTGTTGAAACTGAGACATCAATGTAAACATCAGCCTTCCTCCTACAGAAATCCTGACCTTCTAGATTCTCTTAGAAAGGACATCAGGAGAGCAGCCTGGTGTGGAAGGATCACCTGTTTTCCAGGGCTTTTGTAAGGATCAAATGAAATAATGCCTGGGAAAATGCTTTAAAAATAGAGAAATGCTATACAGATTACATTATTATCACTGTCAAGACAAGCTAGAAGTAAAGAAAGTGGGTTGTTTTTTTTTTTTTTTAATCTGACTTAATCTGATAAATAAAGGCCTCAGGTTGTGAGGCATGAACAGCAGAAGAATAAGGGAAGAGGGCTCATTCTATCTGTCTTTAAGTTCTGATTCTAGCTTTATACCTCATTACCCAGGCAGAATCAGAAAGACGTTCAGGACTTGAACATTTCAAAGAAAGAACATCTGATTTTCCCTTTCTTCCTTAAAGGTCTGGAGCTCTCTGCTCAGTGTGTCTCTACCACTACTCCTTCTCCGTTTCTTAGCTATTTCCCAAGGACTTGAAATAATGTTACATTTGATAAGCTCAAGCAGCTCTAGGAAGGAAATGATCACACAGGGGTCAGGAATTCTTCTGAATAACACATGCTTCCGACCTTAGATCAGTTTTTTTGTTTTTGTAGTTGGACAGAATGCCTTTATTTTATTTATTTGTTTTTATGTGGTGCTGAAGATCGAACCCAGTGCCTCACACATGCAAGGCAAGCGCTCTGCCACTGAGCTACAGCCCCAGCCCCTTGGAGAACTTTTCTAAAAAATCCATTAGCCTATGCCCAGAAAGCTACCTTGAATCAGTCCAGCTGGAGTTTAGAGGACAAAAACCGCCTAATGTATTTCATGTGTGGACAAACACTGACACTCTAGCATCCATCAAGGAGAGCAGCTGCTGCAACTCTGCACGACAGGAGCAACTTGGAGGATGGGAAGTGCCCCGTGAGTCAGTCAGTAACCTCTGTGGAGCTGGCCTTGGCTGCCCCAGGATGCAGCCATCAGAGGTGAGCTGGACTGCAACAGTGCTTCTGAATATCAGGACCAGCAAAGAACAGGTGGAGATGAAACAGATTTAACCTTCTTTTGGATTTGTGTGCAAGTGAAATCTTCATTTTTCAGTTCCTTAATTTTAAATAATCAATAATCCTTTGAAAATGATCAAAAAAATCCTACAAATGGAAGTTTACACATAGTAAAATTGGGAACACTGTAAAAGATCTAACTATTTTTTCAAAGCCATTTATAAACCAAAGATGAGTAGTTCCCATTCATGTGCAAGATGCTGGCAGAAATTTTTTCTTTAGTAATAAAGAGTAAGAAACAACAACAAAAGTCATACCATCTAGCAGGGTGTCAAAGTGTATAGTTTGCAAGTATTCCTTCTCCCGCATAAAACCTTTGAGGGGAGTGGCCCAGCCTTCACTCAACACCTGGACCCACTGGAGATCCAGCTGCAAAACACAAACAGCAGGTGAATATTTCCATAAATTCTGTTTCTCTGGCATCTGGTCCCAGGCAGTTCTTTCTTATTCAGTTGTTTGGAGGATGAGGGCTAAATCTTTTGTTAAGTGTTTCCACATATTGTGCTAACCTGTGATCCCAGGGTCAGATAGTCTTAGGTCTAGAATTTTCCTATGGAAGAGCCGTAAAAAGATTCCAAATTGAGATGATTTTTTTTGGACACTCCAGCCTATAACTTTCATTGTAATATGCAACAGCTGAAATTTCAGTCTTCATTCATTTATTTTCCACAAAAATCCTGGTTTGGCTGAATGTTTTTTTACCACATGTACTTACTGGTCATTTGATTGAATTGAGCAAACTATTGAGTCTAAGATAAAGTCCAAAGTTACTAGCATGATAATGAAAGCCCTTCTGGCCCCTAGGACTCACAGAGGGACTTCTGCCTCCTTCCACTCCAGCTGGGGACTACTGGTCAACAATTCCAGACAACGTGTACGTGGTCTAAACACATAAGTGGTTTCGAGCCTGGGTTTTACCCATCCTCTTCTCCACTTTCAACTCCTATTCATCATTTAAAACCCAGCCCATGGGTCATGGCTCTAAAACCTTTCCTATCTTCCCCATGACTGAAAGAATCAATCTGAAGTTGAAGTTCTCCGCCTCATAGATTGCTCTGTTTGGAACTATAATACCACATCCCAGCTGTCATCATGTGTTTTCTCCCCTGCTTGGTGCTCTTGGTGCTCAGGATCTGTTTCACAGAGCTGGGGTTTTATTTATAAATTGGTCATGACTTTTTAGAGTACTCTAAAAAGTCTTCATGAGCAGAAGCAAGTTCCCCATTCACCTTGTCCCTTATGAAACTCCAAAGTTTTAATAGGTAATAAATAGGTCCCCATGAAGACTTGATCACCTTGTGTGGACCAACTAAAACTGACCACAAACAGGCCCTTGTGGGGCAATTGCTGGGATTGCACCACATATCCTCCAGGTAGTAAAATCCTCCCCTCCGGCTGCAATGTCCCCGATGAAGGAGCACTGCAATTGTAGAGTAGAAAAGCCTAGAACATTCCCATCACTGGATATCAGGGCTACTTTCCATTTTCTTCAAACTCCTTCTCAGTTGCCCATAAAGCACTTGCTTTCCAGGCTGTTTCCTGAGCCACTGCTAACAAGTAGTTATGGGGATGCCTGCCCTTGAAAATGACTGAAGGTAAATGACAGCTGTGTAAAACTGTCCCAGGCAAATATAGCCGGCACTTTCCCAGCCTGCCCCCATACATAGCTCTGATCAGCCGCCTTGTGGCAAGTCTTGGGAAAGATTTGCTCAGAGAAGAGGTGGGGGAAAAAATGACAAAAATGAAGTGTCCCTTACTCATACTTTCCTTTTTAACAAGAGTAATTATAAATGAATTATAATGACAGATATTAAGCGTAATTCTCCTTTGGCCAGTCTGTACCCCTTACCTTGGTGATCGATAACGAAGGGAGATTCTCAGCCTCAGCCCGGACCTGATCGAGTTTGTTTTCTGGCACAAAGAGTTCATGGATGCCTCTGATTGTGGCATGGGGTACGATGTTCTGAAATGAAACGGAATCAGCAACAATTTCCAATGAAAACAACAGGAAAGAGTGCTTTAGGAAAGAGGCCTAAATTGTCTTTCGTGACTTAACTAAATTTAAAAAAAAAAAGAAAGAGAGAACCATGTGCCCACCTGTTCTTGTAGAAGTTCCACCACCTGCTGGACACAGTCGCTCACTGAAGACAAATTGGTTTTAAGCACACACTCAGGAGTTTCAGGCTTCTCATAATCAGAATCGATACCTGTAAATCCTGCAAGACATAAGGGGGAAATCACATCTGTCCCAATGGAATAATTATTTTTTAATCATTAAGGCATAACCCATGTTGGAATAATATGTTAAACTGAGAGTTTGGATTATAACAGAAAAGGTCAAACTGCCATCCTTGACCTTTTGCCATAGGTAAGAAAATATACAGCTGTGTTTTCAATATGGAAAGCCCCAAATTATGAATAATATCTAGCAAAGTCCAAGCCATCTATAGGTAATTAGAATTGTTATTTTTCCTTTTCTTTCTTTCTTTTTTTTTTTTTTTAGTACTGGATATTGAACCCAAAGTTGCACAACTATTGAGCCACATCCTGAGTCCTTTTCAATTTGTATTTTGAGGCAGTGTGTTGTAAGTTTGCTGAGGCTAGCCTTCAACTTGTAATACTTCTGCCTCCTGAGTCATTGGATTACAGGCATGTATCACCACACTGGGCTAGAATTGAAAACAGAAAAAGAAGGGAAAACTCTGAAATACCCCCCTCACAAACGTATATCCATTTTATTTCTCTGAACCTGATTGCTTTCACAATTAGATGAGAGTTCTTGAAAGAAAAAACTCCACATTTTAATAAGCCTATGGACATATTCAATATATTATGATTTGATAAAAAGTTGTGTGTTATATGAAATTTTGGAAAATAGTTTGAAACTTCAGACAGATTCCTGAGGATATAATCAGAGGATTGATAGGCTAAATAATTGGCAAAGGAGCCTCTGGCTGGTTCTCATACTTTTTTTTTTTTTTTTTTTTTGTGGTACTAAGAATTTAATTCAGAGGTACTTAATCACTGTGCCACACCCTCAGCCCTTTTAATTTTGAGACAGGTCTCTCTAAGTTGCTTAGGGCTTCACTAAATTGCTGAGACTGGCTTTGAACTCTAGATCCTCCTGCCTCAGCCTCCTGACTAGGATTACAGGGATTACATGTGTGCACCATTGCACCCAGCTGGGTCTCATACCTTTAATCTCCCCAGCTCGAGCCCGTTTGTAGAGGCCTTTTACATCTCTGCTTTCACAAATATTTAGAGGTGCATCTACAAATATCTCAAAGAATGGCAGTCCTGCTGATTCGTGGATTTTACGGGCATTCTCACGATCCTGAAAAACAGAACATTTAAGAATGGAAAAAGAGGTTTGTTATGGTTTGTACACATGCCCCAAATTTTATGTTGGAAACTGAATCCCTAAATTCATACATTGATGATATTTGGATGCGGAGCCTTTAGGAGTAAGCTCTTGAGATAAGGTCATCAGGAAAGAGCCCCCACAATGGGACTACATGGCACACATGTTCTGTCTCACCGCCACTTAATAGCCCTCCACCATGCTAAGATGCAGCCAGAAGGTCCTAACCAGATGCTGAGCAGATGCTGGTGCCATGTTCTAGATCTTCTTAGCCTCCTAAATAATGAGCCAAACAAACCTCTACCCTTTATAAAATACCCAATCTGCGGTATTTTGTTACAACAGAAAATGAATTAAGACAAAATTTCACAATGAAATTCTTTGTCACAAAACAAAATGAATGCTCTGGCATTTGGTAGCCTTGAGATAACACTAGGCTATGGAGTCCTTTAGAGAGTCCAGAAATGTCACTCTGGTAAACACAGCTCTCTCAAGAAATTTCAGAGCAAAACAGCCCCTCTTAGCAAGATGGTACTGGCAGTATGAGCATATTCCATCCAAAGGATGTGCTCAGAGCACATAGCACATTATCCATCGCTCCTGGGAATTTCTAGTTTTAAAACATGAAGAGTGACACTCCACCTCAGCAATGTGCACATCAAACATACACAATCTGAAGCTTTGTAGTGAGCTGTTCTTTTCTTTAGCAAGCTAAACATTCTTTTCCAACAACTGAAATTACAGAGTCTTAAGAGTTCTGCTTGTTTAACTTTCTCTTCCTGTCAGCTCTGACCAATGTCCTTTATAATTGTGAACATGAGAGAGTTTAGGTCAACTGGGGCCTTGGCATCTGGAAATGAAGGAACTCTCTTTATATAAGCAATTGTAAATAGAGGAAATGAGGGAGCATGGGGGGAGAGGAAGAAATGGTGGGTAAATTGAAAATAAAACATTCGGCTCTCCCTTCCCCTCCACCAAACTCCTGTCCTCAGCCGTTGGAGAGCTCTCAGACTGTGTGTGAGAGTTGTGCCCAGACCTGAATCTTTTTACCTTTGCAAATGGAGAGATGAAGCTGGTGATGCAGACCAGACCAGCATCAGCAAACAGCTTAGCCACCTCAGCAATCCGGCGGATGTTTTCTTCTCGGTCCCCAGGCGAGAACCCCAGGTTCTTGTTAAGGCCATGACGGACATTGTCCCCATCCAGAGAATAGCACGGGATGGCATGGGAGACGAGGTACTCTTCCAGAGCGAAACTTACTGTTGTTTTTCCAGCACCAGAGAGACCTGTCACAAGAATAAGCAAGACAGACTAGTGTTGTCCTGGATTGTTAAAGATGATACCTTCTGAACCAACCTGACTTTTTTGTTTTTTTGTGGTGCTGGGGATTGAACCCAGGGCCTTATCTATGAGAGGAAAGCACTCTACAAAATGAGCTATATCCCAGCCCCCTAATCTGGCACTTTTATATGTACCTAAAACCCTTGTTACAATATTTGATTGATCTTAAATTAAAATCATTAAAGTCTATAAAGAGTATAGTTTATTAAAAGCCAAGTACTTGCATCTATCTCAAAATTTGAAATAACTCTTTGTCCACTATTAGGATTAGGATTTCATAGAAAGTGGGGTTTCTAAAATAGAGACCTGAGGGCTACATACGATCCTTGGTGTGTTCTTTTGCCTACAGGAAAAACAGGATTTTCTAATCCTGTTTTCAAGATTAGAAAATTGTGCATATAAACCCAGATTCTGGATTCTTTCGAAAAGCGGAAGATACTACACAGTGGTCTTATCTTCCCTCATATGGGAGCAATTAGTAGAGAGGAGGGGGACAGACAGCCGCTAGAGAATGGCAGGCCCACCTCCCTTGCAAATGTCACTGAATATCCATCTGACATAAGAGCCCATATGCTTCCAGATTTTTCCAAAATGATTCTCAAAACACAAAAATGGAGAGTCACCTTGAGCTAGGCTGCAGAAGGATTTAGAGCTCTTAGGAGTATTTATAATCAGAGATTTAAAGCTTTGTAGGGTCTTTATGTGCCAATAGAGTTACCAGGGGCCTTCCATCACGCTGTCAAAGCACAATGATTTTATAATTTCCAGATAAGGGAGAACATAGGGATTAAGAGGAAAACGCAATCTGAACCACCCTGCACTCTAAAAATTCACTTGTCCTAAAGGTCTTAGAACCTGAAGGATATTCCATGGTGCTAGGCCACTGTCAGACGACGCCCAGCAGGGAAAAGGGAAAGTTGAGAGGGAAGAAGAAAAGGGCAAGAGGTTGACACAGAGAAGACTGCAGAAGGAAAGAGCAAAAGGTAGAAAAACACGAGAGCAAGGCAGGGATGGAGGTCTAAGAGGAAGGGAAACTTCAATGGGAAAAAAAAAAGATGATCTACAAAAGATAGATAAAGTGTTTTCAGATATTTTCTTATGTTTCGAAGTCATGCTGTTGGCTTTGACAGAGGATCATTAGAAGAAATAGCTACATGAAGAATGTGTTGTCAGTCTTTGCTAAATCATTGTTGAATGTGTTCTCTACAATTATGTATTGGGTTTCAAATAAACACTTAGATGATAAATGCTTAGAATCGATGCAGGGTTATGGGGTAGGAGAAAAGGGAATCTTGAATATCTCGTATGTTCTTTCATATCAGAAAAATGAGAGAAATAGATTTCCTTCCATTTTTCTTCAGCTCTCAGAAAACAAAGAGCTAATTCACAATAACTGTATTTAACTAGACTGTTGCTCTATTTATTTTTAATATACTGGGAAACACTATATACTAAGAGCTTTACCATGGGTCAGGCACTACGCTAAGTGCAGTGATACTTCATTTCATATAGTTCTCCCAAACCTCCATAGATAGGTAACTAATCTTTTTTTTTTTTTTTTCCAGGTAACTAATCTTTATTCTCACTTTACAAACAAGGAAATTGAGGCTTAGAGAAATTAACTGGCTAATTAATGTAGGTTGAGTGAGAGTTCAAATCTGAATTTCTGGATTTGAAGTATATGGTTTCTTCTGGTCTGCCTGGTCAATATCCTACTTCTGAAACATAAAAATAAAAAAAGAAGCTAGGAAAAGGTGATTTTTTTTTTTGTACTGAACCCAGAGTTGCTTTACCACTGAGCTATATCCCCAACCCTTTTTAGTTTTTGAGACAGGGTCTTGCTAAGTTACTGAGGGTCTCACTAAATGGCTGAGGAGGGCCTCAAACTTGTGATCCTCCTACTTCAGTCTCTGGAGTGGCTGGGATTACAGGCATCTGCCACTGTGCCCAGTGTGATTTTTAATTCATTCTTATTTTTATGTTTTTGGTCCATTTTATTTCATTTCCCACCTTTTTTTATTGGTGCATTATAGTTGTACATACCTGCATGATTTTCCTAAAGAGTAAAATAAGAAAGAGAAAATATATCCTTTTAATGCTTTTCCCCTCTCCTACCTTTTAAAAAATTTTTTCTTTTCAAGGGAATGTCACATTAGAGGAGTGGGCTTTGTGTGGATGTTCCAACACAAAAACACAAAGGTTGTTTCCACAACTGTATCTACTGCTACAAGTGGTGTCTCCTGAGGGAGTTGAGGAGGCAGCACAGGGTCCATGAAGGGGAGCTCTGAGCACCTGCATGGAGCAAGCCCCCCGGCCCACTGTCCTTCCTTACGCTAGAGGCTGGGGAAGCTGCTTCCTTGCAGAGCACAGGAATGAAGAAGCCAGGCCACCAAAGGTACCAGGATATAAAAAAGTGAAAAAGATAAGAAGAACAAGGCTGGTTTGGAGAGGAAAGGGAAATGACTAGAATAGCAAAAACCAACCAACCAAACAACAACAACAACAACAAAACAGATGTAAGGCAGGTCCCTGCCCTCCAGGTTCTTTAGAATACATTTGCTACTCTCACTCAACCTGCATTAGCCAGTGAATTTTTTCTAAGCCTCAATTTCCTTGTTTGTAAAGTGAGCATAAAGATTAGTTACCTGAAATAGAAGAAGGAGGAGGAGGAGGAGGAGAAAGATTAGTTACCTGTCTTATGGAGGTTGGGAGAATTTATGGATTATAAAACTAATCTAAGACGGAACAGCAGTTACATCTGGGATGATTATGAGCACACTCATAATCCCATTCAGTAAAACATTTACTGAAAAGCTATGTGTATGAAATGATTTTTTTTTTCCTTTTGAGTCCAGGCTACTTAAAACTCGTCTCCCACTGTGTATGGTGGTGCATGATATAATCCCAGGGACTCCAGAGGCTGAGGCAAGAGGATTGCAAATTTGAGGCCAGCTTTAGCAATTTAGGGTGATCTTGTTTCAAAATAAAAAGGGCTGGGAATATGGCTTGGTGATAGAATACGGCTGAGTTCAATCCCCAGGATCAAGAAAAAAGAAAAAAAAGCCTCAGTTCTAGGCAACAATTCTCTCTGTTGTACTCAGAGTATGAGGGTCTTGGGAGTCTTAGGTCCTGAGTCCAATTCTGTCACTAATACTTAGCGTTGGCATTCTGTGACTATAAAAACATGAGAAAAGGAAGATTCACTGGGTCACCTGGGTGGGAGCTAGTGATTTCCATTGTTTCCACAGACAAAGGGCACTCCTCAACTGGTGGAAATATAGTGTCCTTACATTTGCTCAATTGTTTGCTTAAGTGAAACAGTCCCCTCAAATATCAGAACATCGGAAAACAAAAAGACTCTCTCTAATCATCCCACACCTGATGGGCCAGCAAATCCTCCATGTCAAGTTAGAAAAGCCCCATTCATAACTGCCAGCCAATGCTGAGATGAACGTGAGGTGTATTGAATTTCTTGGAGTTGAGCAAGGGTGTCATAATCCACTTGTCCCACCATGTCCTGTCAGAAAACTGACAACTTAAGACTTCCCACTTCTGGATCAGATGTTATTTCTAGAGTCAGGCCTTGACTCTCTTTTCATTGATGAGAGAATTAGGAGTAACACCCAGGCTTTCTACTATAGCTCTCAGCCTCTTTCTTAGGTTAAAAATAAGCACGTACGGTGTGCGAGATGTTGCACTAATTTCCTTAAAAGTGTGTGCCACATTTCAATTTCAAAAATGTATCTATATAGCTAGGCAGTGGCACACACCTGTAATCCCAGCAGCTCAGGAGGCTGAGGCTAGAGGATTGCAAGTTCAAAGCCAACCTCAGCAATTTAGTGAGACCCTGACTCTAAATAAAATACAAAAAGGGCTGGGGGTGTGGCTCAGTGGTTAAGTGCCCCTGAGTTTGATCCCCAGTATACACACACACACACACACACACACACACACACATACACATACATATATATATGATATATATGTCCATACCTGTTAGCCACACGGTACATCCTCGGAATCCACCCCTCGTTCCAACCACCTGTCCTCTCTTATTCCTGCTGACGTGATGGGCCTGATACACTACATTGGTAGATTTCTGTTGGTTGTCCTACAAAACAAGACAAGGTCAAGCACAAAATTGGATTAATAAAATACATATTCTTCACCAGAACAATAAATATCCATTTAAAATTTTAATTCAAAACCGATATATGTAATGTCTACAAAACATTTTTTGAAAAAGACTCACCCTTGTCCTTCCTCATATTTTTTTTCCATTTCTGCAGATTACCCTGAGACATTTGCCACATATATATATTTTTCATAGCTGTGAGTATACACACATAATTTCTTTATCTGTTCTTTTCTGTTAATGTAATTCATAAGAATTTGGTTTCCTGAAAATAATGATTTTTTAAAAATTTATTTTTAAATATCAATCTTAAATTAGTGGATAATATTTCATTGGTTCATGCAACACAACCTGATAAATAACTAATAAAATTATAGTGTAATAACAGATTACATTCATAGACTTCGCCAACCTTATCTTTCTTTTATATCTGGAAACAGAGTTACCATTATTAATTCTATCAATTTACAAACCAACACTACCTTTAGAATAGTGAGAAATAGAAAGCCCAGTGGTCCCTTTTCAGAATACAGTATTCAGCCTTAGTTGGATCCAATTATAGTCATTTTACTGATAGCCCTTCCCTTTGTCTGCCCCAATTTTAAACTTAGCCAATCGCATAGATGGTAACCCCGAACTCCTCACACCCAGGCAAAGGGCAGCCTGACTTAGGGATAAAATCCAGCGGGGCCACCTAGCAGCCAGGTTTCCTAGCAAGCCCTTCAGGCGTAGTAAGCTTGCCTTGTTCACCCAATTTTCCAGCACATTTGATTTCTTGGGTACCTCGGTATTTCTCACGATATCCATCACAATCCCTTCAGAATATAATTCAAATTAGGCTGTTCTGATGCTAAATAACAGTTCTTCCCAGGGAGGTGAGGAGACATCACAGGGACTGTGATTCCATGACATTTTAGTTATGCACCTGGGGTAGAGACTAGGGATATGTCTTTGTTTCTATAGATGCCTGGTCTCCCCAAATCCAATCAGTTTGAATGGAGAACATCCCAAACACTCCAGCTGGGGGCATGCTGGGGTGGCTGGTGGAGCCCTGTCTGTGGAGCCAGGGAAAGGCTCAGGGTTAACGTCAGCCCCAGACAGCAGTGAGCAGGTCAGAGGTTCGTCCCTGAGCACACAGGGCTACTTTCCTCACAAGAACTAAACTTTGCTTCCACTCTCCCCTGGGTCAATGTACAAGTCTTTCAAAACCCCAGCAGAAATTCAAATGTACCAGTTATGAGACTTGGGGGAAATTCAAACACCAAATGTTTTGATTGGGCTAAAAATCAGCCTACTGAGGGAACAAACTATCTGATCCTGATTCTAAACTCTGATTTGAGGTCAGATGTCTTTCCACGTGAAATGATTGTTCAATTCTTTCCTTGTGTTTAAAAACAGGGTTGTCAGTTGGGCGTGATGGAGCACGCCCATCATCCCAGAAGCTTGGTCGGGTGAGACTAGAGGATTAAAAGTCCAAAGCCAGCCTCAGAAATTTAGCAAGACCCTGTCTCTAAATAAAATATAAAAATGGACTGGGGATGTGGCTCGGGGGTTAAGCGCACCTGAGTTCAATCCCCGGTAAAAAAATAAATAAAAAAAATTGGATCGTCTTTATTACTCACTTGCAGATGTTCTTTATAGACCTTTCTATAGTATACGTGTCTGTGTGTGTGTGTGTGTGTGTTTGTGTGTGTGTAAGCTTCCGCCTCCCCTAAGGAGTAGGGCTGAGTATTTGATCATCTTCTCTTCTAACCAAATGATGCTGGGGACTCAGCTTTATTCAGTACTACATTCCCAGCTCCTATGGTTGCCCCTGCCATATAGTAGGAGCTCAATAAACATTTACTAACTCAATGAATGAACGAATGAACTGACTTTTGGACCTGATATTCAGGTTAAATGTTCTTGAATTTAATGGTATTAGGAAAAATGGCACAAGGAAATAAAAAAAAGAGGAAAGCTAAATGTTAATATCTTGACTAGTAAACACTTGGCTAGTAAGCATGCATGAAATGCTCCATGTCATTGGTCATCAGAGAAAGGCAAATGAAAACTAAAATGAGATGCCACTGATAACATTTAATGGCAGCAAGGGCATGTCCTCATATATTGATGGTGGAGGTATATAGGGGTACAACATCCTGTAACTACACCTGACAGTTTCTTTCAGAACAAAACATTTACCTCCCCTATGATTATCTAATCAAGAGAAAGGAAAACACGTTTCCATAAAAAGACTTGTGCAAGAATATTTCAGACTAAAGACTAGAAATGGTCAATTGTCCAGCAATAAAAAAATAGATACTCCAAAACTCCCCCAAAATATAAAAAGCAAAACTCAACCTCAAATTGAAAAAGATGCAGAGTGGAATAGTATTTTTCAATCAAAAGGAATGGACTGCTGATAGAGACAACAGGGATGATAATGAATGGAAAACATTATGCTGAGCCAATAAAACTTTACAGAAAAACTACATATGCATGATTCCATTCACCTCAAGTTCCAAAACGGGGAAAACTAATCCAAGACAGAACAGCAGTTACATCTGGGATGATGTAACAGCAGTTACATCAAGTTTTATGTTTTGATAAGGAGTTGAGGCACAGGGGCATTAGCATTTGTTAGAACCCATTCAGGTATGCTTAAGGTGTGTATTTTGTAGTGTATAAATTTTACCACATTCATACAAAGAGCCATTATAAAAGTAAGCTGTTGGGTGAGGTGGCACAGGCCTGTAATCCCAGCACCTTGGAAGGCTAAAATGAGATGTGGAGCCAGGGAGAGGCCCAGGAGGATCAACAGCCTTAGTATAATCAAGGTACTAAGCAACTCGGTGAGACCCTGTCTTTAAATAAAATAAAAGATAAGGCTGGAGGTGTGGTTCAGTGGTTGAGTGCCCCTGAATTCAATCCCAAGTACTGCCCCCCCCAAAAAGAAGTAAGCAAACAAGCAAACAAAAAACCATAATAGTATTTCAAATAGTAGAATTAACTGGTTCAACATGGTTGCATTTATAGAAAGGGACTCGGATCCCAAACTCGGTATATTAGACTAAAAGACTACTGCTACTGCCCACCTGTGATGTGAACCCCATCAATGTTTAATTTGTTTACAGAGATTGGGTTCCTTTTCCTCTCTTTTGACAGTTTTTCTTTTCTCCAGACAAGCAGTGAACCAGAATAAACCCAGGCTCTGCTAATCTGTGAACTCTGTTATGATTTTATTAAATGCCATCCTAACAAGCTTTTTTTTTTTACATACTTATTTATTTTTTAGTTGTAGTTGGACACAATACCTTTATTTATTTATTTATTTTTATGTGGTGCTGAGGACTGAACCCAGGGCCTTGCAGGAGCTAGGCAAGCGCTCACCACTGAGCCACAACCCCAGTCCCCTAACAAGCTTTTTGTTTTTTAAAAATAGTTCACAATTCACCAAAAGGAACTACTCTAATACTGTATAATAGTTGCATCTTCATCATGGGTCTTTATACAAATTTCTATCGCCGCAGCAATATTTAAACAAATAAAATATTTTTAGGTCCCCAGGTACTGGGGTCTTTTGGTTCAGCAAGATATTTTGCTTCTTATTTATTTCAAAATCACCCTTGATGTTTTGCAAAAGGCAAACTAATAAAATAAAAGCAGATGTTTTAAATGATATTTGAACTGTAAAGGGGGCAGGGCAGCCAAAAACTTGTCCTTGCTGAAAGCCTTACACTCCTCTAAAAAGCATATGGTGTTCTAAGCTTTGGAAAGAAAGTGGCTGTCAGAAAAAAAGATCCTCTACAAAAAATAAAACACATGTTGAAGGAAAAAATGCCTGCCTCTCTGCGTGGTCCTAGGAGCACCCAGACATCCTTAGCACCTTGACTAACACACACTCAGCAGAAAGTAACCCAGAAACTACAACGCTAGCGGCGTACTTCTATCCTGGGTCCCCAAGAAAAACCTTGCAAAAATCCCTACTTTCTTCCAGGTCACTCCCCCACTGCATGCACAGGAATGGCAAGAGTGGTTTTGGAGTCATGCAAACTTAGATTTGTGCCCACTTCACAGCCTCCTGAGGCACTTGATTGACCAGATTAACATCCCTGATCCCCATTTCTTTCTCTGAAAAATAAGAATAAAAATACTTTCCTCTTGGGATTGCTGAAAGGATTAAACAAGATAATTATTTGAATAAAATGGCAAAGAAAATACTAGACACACAGTGGGATGTAGAATCTAAAAGTACCAGATGGCATTTAATCTGGAGAAATAATAGTAATTTAGGTCTAAATCATCCAGATTTAGAAGGGTTCTGGGGACTTGGGTTCTCTCTAAGGGAAGTCTGGGGAGGTGGGCTCATGATCAAATCAGCCAGTGGACAGGACTTTGTATGGGGGGGTGAATATTTCTCTCACATGTGCACACACCCCACAGATATACACACATATGATATCACCGTCATCATTGCTGCTCTGATGACTTAATTCCAGCCAGGAAGTACCCACGCTGACGTGCACCAGTTTGAAGCCTCCTCTTTCTAACCCCAAACTTTACTGTCCTTGTTCTGGCTGTCTTGGAATCATGAACACTTTGTTACCACGAAGGAGAATGGCCTTTGCCCCAGGTCAGTAGTGTCTGGACCATGTCACCAAGCCCAGGGTTTCAGTAAGTTTCTCTGCTGGATTCACCCTCGGCTCCCAAGTGTCAAAGCAGCTTCTGGAACTCAGGATGAGGCGCCCTGGGTCATGGCAGAGAGCCTCAGCCTTTACTTGAAAAGAACAATCTGGGTGAAAGACTTCAGATGGCTTTGGGGTGGGACGGGACATGCTCACAGACAACTCCAAGTCACATCACAGTTAAGCCCGTCCTGAAAGAGAGAGCCCTGAGGGAATGAGGAAGCTGGAAAGCACACGTCAGGGTGTTTTTTCCAACATGCAAAGGATTTTTCGCTTTTGTTTTTGGGTTGTGCATATCTTTAGTAAAAA